GGCCAATTTTCAGGTGTATTTTTGGCCCATTTTTGGATGTTTTTGGCATGGTTTTGGGTGGATTTTAGGGTGGATTTTTGGGTGGACTTTGGGATGGTTTTGCCTGTATTTTTGGGTGGAATTTTTAGCAATTTTTGGGTGTATTTTTGGGTGAATGTTTGAGCAATTTTTGGGTGTATTTTTGGTATTTTTGCACAATTTTTGGGTCTATTTTTGGGTTGCTTTTTTGCAATTTCTGGGTGGTTTTGTACCATTTTTAGGTGTATTTTGGGATGGTTTTTGGCGTATTTTTGGGCGGCTTTCACCAATTTCAGGGTATTTTCGTGCTGGTTTGGGCTATTTTTATGGCATTTTTGGTGGGATTTTTCGTGCACTTTTTGGGGTGGATTTTGGGTGGATTTTGGGTGGATTTTGGGCCATTTTGGCAGGTCCCTGACCTTGTTGTAGATGTAGCAGTTGGTGAACATGGTGTTGAAGTCCTGCATGCACTCGGCCGCGCCCCAGTAGTAATTGTTCTCCAAGCGGCGCTTGATGGTTCCCATGTCCATGGGCTGCTTGATGATCTTGTGGTAGTCCTGCAGGGGGAAAAAAAAAGCAGATTTTAGGAGAAAATACAAATTTTGGGGAAAAAAATCCTGAGTTTTGGGGAAAAAAACCAATTTTTGGGGAAAAAACCCCAATTTTTGGGGAAAAAAACACAATTTTTGGGAAAAAAACCACGATTTTTGGTGGAATAAACCCAAATTTTTGGGGGAAAAAACCCCAACTTTTGGGGAAATAAACCCAATTTTTGGAAAAAAAATGGGGGAGAAAAACCAAAATTTGGGGGAAAAAACCCCCAAACTTTTGGGAAAAAACCCAAATTTTTGGGGGAAAAAACCCCAACTTTTGGGGAAATAAACCCAATTTTTGGAAAAAAAATGGGGGAGAAAAACCAAAATTTGGGGGAAAAAACCCCCAAACTTTTGGGAAAAAACCCAAATTTTTGGGGGAAAAAACCCCAACTTTTGGGGAAATAAACCCAATTTTTGGAAAAAAAATGGGGGAGAAAAACCAAAATTTGGGGGAAAAAACCCCCAAACTTTTGGGAAAAAACCCAAATTTTTGGGGGAAAAAACCCCAACTTTTGGGGAAATAAACCCAATTTTTGGAAAAAAAATGGGGGAGAAAAACCAAAATTTGGGGGAAAAAACCCCCAAACTTTTGGGAAAAAACCCAAATTTTTGGGGGAAAAAACCCCAACTTTTGGGGAAATAAACCCAATTTTTGGAAAAAAAATGGGGGAGAAAAACCAAAATTTGGGGGAAAAAACCCCCAAACTTTTGGGAAAAAACCCAAATTTTTGGGGGAAAAAACCCCAACTTTTGGGGAAATAAACCCAATTTTTGGGAAAAAAAACATTGGGGGAGAAAAATCCAAATTTTGGGGAAAAAAACCCCCAAATTTTGGGGGGAAAAACCACCCAAATTTTGGGGAAAACCCCCAAATTTTAGGGAAAAAAACCCCCAATTTTTGGGGGGGGAAACCCCCAAATTTTGAGGAAAAAAACGGCAATTTTTTGCGGAATAAACCCAAATTTTTGGGAAAAAAACCCCCAATTTTTGGGAAGAAAAAACTCCAAATTTTGGGGGGGAAAAAATCCCACATTTTGGGGGAAAAAACCCCAAGTTTTTTGGGAAAAAAACCCAAATTTTGGGGAATAAACCCCAATTTTTGGGGAAAAAAACCCGAATTTTTGGGAAAAAAACCACGATTTTTGGTGGAATAAACCCAAATTTTGGGGAAATAAACAGCACATTTTGAGAGGAAAAACTACCCAAATTTTGGGGGAAAAAACCCCAACTTTTGGGGAAATAAACCAAATTTTTGGGAAAAAACCCCCCGAATTTTAGGGAAAAAACCCAAATTTTGGGGAAATAAACACCAACTTTTGGGGAAATAAACCCAATTTTTGGGAAAAAAAATTTGGGGGGAAAAACCCCAAATTTTGAGGGAAAAAAACCACCCAAATTTTGGGGAAAAAACCCCAAATTCTTGGGGAAAAAAAATCCCAAGTTTTGGGGAAAAAACCACCCAGATTTTGGGGAAAAAGCCGCCAAATTTTGGGGGAAAAAACCTGCAAATTTTGGGGGTAAAAATCCCAAATTTTGGGGAAAAAATCCCAAATTTTGGGAAGAAAAAAACCCCAAAATTTTGGGGAAAAAACACCCAAATTTTGGGGGAATAACCTCCAAATTCTGGGGAAAAAAACCCCCAAATTTTGGGGGGAAAAAAACCCCCAAATTTTGGGAAAAAAACCCCCAAATTTTGGGGGGAAAAAAACCCCAAATTTTGGGGGGGAAAAACCCCCAAATTTTGGGAAAAACCCCAAAATTTTTGGAAAAAAACCCAAATTTTTGGGGAAAAACCCCAATTTTGGGTCCAGGAGGCAAAAAAAGGGAAGTGGGGGGAGGGGCCAACACAAACTCGGGGAAAAACACCCAAAAACCCCAAATTTTCCCTAAAAAAACCCAAATTTTCCCGGTAAGCCAAGCCTAATGCCTAAGCCGAGCCTAACGCTGTCCATGGGCTGGCGGGAACTCATTTTAGGATCAGCTTTAAACCACTTTTAGGATCAGCTTTAAATCACTTTAGGCTTGGCTTGAAATCCCTTTAGGTTCAGCTTTAAACCACTTTTAGGCTCAGCTTTCAACCACTTTTAAGCTCAGGTTTTAAATTTAATCTCAGGCCTAAACAAAGACAATTTTTGGGCTGACACCTGTGGCTGAGAGGGACAAAACTTGAGCAGGATCAGGGACAGAACCCAACAAATCCACGCACCCCAAAAAACCCCAAACCCCCTCAAAACTCTTACCGGTAAGCCGAGCTTAACGGCGTCCACGGGCTGGCGGAACTTGTTTTAAGTTCAGTTTTAAACCACTTTTAAGCTCAGCTTTAAACCACTTTTAGGCTCAGCTTTAAACCACTTTAGACTCAGCTTTAAATCCCTTTAAGGATCAGGTTTAAACCACTTTAAGCTCAGCTTTAAATCCCTTTAAGATCAGCTTTAAATCACTTCTAGGGTGAGGTTTAAATCACTTTCAGATGCAGCTTTAAATCCATTTTAGGAGCAAATATAAATCACTTTAAAGATCAGACTTAAATCAGTTTTAGGCACAGCTTTAAATCCCTTTAGAATCACCTTCAAATCACTTTTAGGATCAGTTTCAAATCACTTTTAGGCTCAGCTTTAAATTTAATCTCAGGCCTAAACAAAGACAATTTTTGGGCTGACACCTGTGGTTGAGAAGGACAAAATTTAGGCTGAGGACGAGCAGGATCAGGGACAAAACCCAACAAATCCACGCACCCCAAAAAAACCCCAAACCCCACCAAACTCTTACCGGTAAGCCGAGCTTAACGGCGTCCACAGGCTGGCAGGAACTCATTTTAGGATCAGCTTTAAACCACTTTTAGGCTCAGTTTTAAATCACTTCTAGGATCAGTTTTAAATCACTTTTAGGCTCAGCTTTAAACCACTTTAGGCTCAGCTTTAAACCACTTTTAGGATCAGCTTTAAATCACTTTTAAGCTCAGCTTGAAATCACTTTAAGGATCAGGTTTAAACCAATTTTAGGCTGAGCTTCAAATCACTTTTAGGATCAGCTTTAAACCACTTTAGGCTCAGCTTTAAATCACTTCTAGGATCAGCCTTAAATCACTTTAAGGATGAGGTTTAAATCCTTTTTAGGCACA